AAAATGGACTAGTTAAAAGATACAGAATGGTTTGGTTTAGTTTAGTTTAGTTTAGTCATTTCATCTCATTTCATCTCATTTTTCATTTAAACAAACAAGTAATTGGAAAAATTTTTAGGAACCAAACACTTTTGCATTTCCTGCAAAATGTGAAGCATGACTGTTGTTCTTCAACATATTTCAGCAAATCTAARTGATTAAGACAGAAGCTAAAATGATCAAACTAAAAGCCAAAAGGTCAGATTAATTTTTAAAAATGGGGCTCCTTAGTGAGGAACTTTCTATGTGCAATAAGCTCCAAGACTATTTAAAAAATAACTGAACTGCTTAATAGATAATTATTATGTTAATGTGAGTAAAATTTCCAGCTCATACTGTGTTGAACATCTGAACAACAAAGCCATATTCTGSTATTCTGCAACAAGTAGAGCCAGAGGGATTTCTAAGGAAAGAGAACAGTTGGAGCTGGTACTAATAAGTTGGCATACCACTGTACCATCCACACTACCCCCAGGCTTYACTGGCAACCACCCCCACAGTATGCATCACATCTGCAGGGCAGTCAACCACTATCCATACGGTCAACACCTGGCAAGGAAACTGACTCACATGTGAGTGTAGACTGAACTCACGTTTCACTCATAAACACATGCCAAATGTTCACGCACACATGAATACATGAACACTGCCTGGATTATCTTTGTCCTTTACCAATGTTTTATTTATTTATTTATTTATTTTTTGTGAGACTGGCAGACAGCATGCTTGACTTTCAAGAAATTCCACAAGCGAGTGCTTTCCGGAACTAAACGGGTGCGGCAAATCCTTTTAAAATCCTTTTACACACCGTGGCAGTGAGAGGGGAAAAGAAGAAGTTTTCTCCCAGGCAAACATGTGCGGGTTTGTTGGGTTGATGTTTCGCTCTTGGGAAGGACACTCTTGCCAGTTTATTACTTCAAGGCTCAGGGAGAGCGTTAATGCAACACACATCCTACACGGGGCACGGCGTGCAGAGAGAAAGCTTCAAGGAAACGACTTTGGGGAGACGATACTTTGGATGTGAACAGCTTTATTTTTCACTTCAAGACCTCAGGAGAGACGTGGTTTACACATATCTCATGCTTTATAATAGGACAGAGGGGCAATTTAATGTGTTGCTTTTTGTTGTCAACATGCCCAACTTGGATATAAAGTTTATGTCTGTGTAAACAAAGGCATAATAAATGGGAAAATTCTCAATATATTTTGAAATGTGCCAATGCAGCTACTGCCAAAAACTACAACATCCACCAGCTTTAATCTCTAAAGTCCAGTAATAGTTTGGGACTAATTTGTAATAATCTAAGCAAAGCTGATATTTTTGCATAATTTTTTGAAAAAAGTGTAAAGAGAACCAAGGTCTAAAAAATCTACCAAGTTGCTGTTAATGACTCTTTAGGCCACATGTGTTCAATTCTAGGCCTGTAAGCCAAATRAGGCCTGCCACAGCATTTTATGTGGCCCWTGAGAGCTGGAAGATGTATTAATGTCTTAAAATAAGCTGCTTTAAAGACTGTTTCTCATAAACTACATCTCCCATAATGCATGTTGACAACATCCTACCACTAGGTGGAGGTGCACAGSRTTCAAAATTAGCTGGTRGCCAGCAAAATGGGCCTTGAGAAATCTACATTTCATTGTRTTTTTGCCGGATACTGTTGCTGTTACCCAGTTGCACTGGGRAGTGGGAATTTTTCACTCSCAAGTTGAACATTTAAACTGGAATTTCCCCTCCAGTGGGAATTCCATCGGAAAGTCTGAACGTTCAGAATTCAAGATTCGCCACAACTCAACAGTGAGTAAAACTCTCTTACTCTCACTTTTACTTTTAATAGTATTTCTGTATTATTTATTTCRCATTTAGTCAGTCATACACGTAGAACTTTTCAGTGTTTAAGAGAACACTTTAAAATGTTGTTTCTATGCAGGAAATACCACGTAGAGCTCAGTAATTGTTTGTTAGCATTGCTTAGCTGTAGCAATGAGACGAGGAATGTGATGTTTTATTCGATGTCAAACACAAAACGTTGAAGTCATGCTGTTGCTCTAAGTGTGAACGAGTTTGACATTTCTGATTTAGGGTCACCATGGGAACTGCATTGTCTCTTGCTTATTTTGTTATCCATTTGTTTGTTATACATTGTCCTCTTCATAAGATGGGCAGACATAAACACAACYAAGAAAGTACATACATGTCAACTYGTACGGGYTGTCCGTAAGTTAYAAGGATTTYACGTCATTTTGCAGGTATACGGACRTATAGAGCAATCTCAYGRATTTTTTCAWGTCTTACGGATTTTTTTAAAACCTCATTTTCAAATTTATCTAACGTGTCAGAGCCTATAGGATGATTTAAAAAAACAATAAATAACATCAAACAGCCATCTTCCAACCTGTTCTGCCGCTAGAAATAAGTTTTGAACTTTTTTTTCGCTCTCCTCTCCTCTCAGACGCTTTCATGTCCGCAGCCGACAGCATCCCCCCCCCACCTGCGGGTGCGAGTTGTACGGATCTTTTGCAAAATTTACGGATTTTTGAGACTTTTTATACAGGCAAACATCCAAGGAGGTTGACATTTATGAAAGTAAGCTTTAGGCAAAGTTGCAAAACCCAAAAGTCGTAACGCACTTTAACAAAACTGCAGACTGACTGCAAAGACCAGTCTCTTTTTAAGGTGCCCTTTCCTGTTCATATATTGCTTCATATGTTTTTGTGGACCACTGATGATGTCATCTTTTCCAGAATATTCCACCAGATGTTTACGTGACCCTTATTCTGACCTTTTGTCCTAAACGTTACTGCTAGAAGCCTCAACACTTATAAAACCAGGCTGTGTCACAGACATKAGCTTTAGCGGAACTAAAAGAGACATGGAGCATTTTGTTCTTCAGCCACAAAGACAGCTGATCTTCTCACAAGTTGATTACTACAGATCTGATACTACCTTGCTTGGTGGCTCAAAGGCACATCAGCAATGTGTTGACTTCAACCCTCCATGCCACCTTGATCCATTCAGAAATCACACTTTAAAAACACTTCAAGCTGGGACTGAGATGCCTTCACCCTGTCTCAGTCCAGCTTTAAATGAATTGTGAAAGTGGCAGTATTGAAAAGTTCTTGAACCACAAGTGGCAGAAGTGTTGGATGGTTAACTTGTGATTTTTTTTTTTTGGTCTACAATGTTTTATGGCAAGTTAAAATAAGCCCTTCTCTTCCAGGTTTGAAAGGAAAAGTCTGAGCTCAGAAACAATGGAAGGCGATGATAGTGTGGTGTGCGTACTCTGCATTCTGAGGGGATTTATGAGAAAAACATTGGTTCTTTAGCAGTGAGCAAAGAATGGGTAAAAAATCCACAATCACCTAAATTTTGATGAGTAAAACCAATGAAAAGTATAACMTTTGTGGTATTAAGAAGAGCTTGTTTGCAAAAACATGGGAAAGTCCAACATTTTGTGATAAAATCTACAAAATGACTCTTTACGACCTGTTTAAATTTTGAATGATTTTTCCACTACAAAGAGCCTTGGATGTTCACCCTCTATTTATTTGATAAACAGAGTTAAATTCAATTTTGAAAACTTTAATTGATTTGAAGTGAACTATGAATAAGAGATAGTTTGGTTGGACTATCAGTTCGAGCCAGTCCAACCACTGTATTTTAGGCTCTCCTATTTGTCCCCAAGTGAAAATAAATAAATAAATAAATAAAAATGCTTCCTCACTCTGATTGCCATTTAAATATTTGGGTAAATGAGCTTGGGATTGGTCTCAGTGGTTTGTTTGTCGATTTGCTCTTTGCTTTTCGATTTCCTTTGGGCAACAGTTTGAATTAATGTTTGTAGACACTGTGATGTCACACATGAGAAAACAGGAGATCTTGCAAAATTACAGAACCTTTGCAATTACATCTCTGCAAACACATAGGACTGTGGTATAAAAAAAGAACAAAACAACATTTGGGTTGCTGCAGAAAGTTCTGGTGTCAGATAGTAATTAGCTTCATTTACATGCTTTTCTATTTAAACAGACCAACAAACATACATTGTTTACCAAGATCCAGGCTTTGCAGAGCCTACATGATGCACGCTAATCTGTGACATACATTTTCATTAAGATTGTGTTTCTGACAACAGATAAATCTCTGTTTGCCTACTCCTCTTCATCTTGCTGCTACAATTTCCCCTTTTATCCCCTTTTCTGGCTTAATTACTTGTTGGAATGTATTTGGATTTTTGCTTCATGCCTGCTGCTTTGGTCATTACAGGCCTCTGTAGGGAGTGAAGTGGATGCCAAGAAAGCTTAACAGAAGACAGGTGCGAGAGATGGGTCTCCACTCACCTGGGGTAAATGAGGGCAACTCTTCCTGCTGGTTTTGAGGCCAGTCCTCCCCTCAGGGGCTGTCCTGATGTTGAAGAGGGTCTGAAGCACACACTGGGCTGCGTGGGTCTTGGCAAGCTTCTTGCTGCGACCGCAGCCCTCGAATATACGACCGTCCACGCGCACCGCCATCACGAAGCTGCGCAGCCGCCTTCCTTCTGCTCGCTCCGAGAGACAGGCGTAGCGCAGGCCGGGCCGGAGCTCGTTGAGCAGCGCCACTGGACTTTTCGGGGCCTCGGGCTCGGGAACGATCCCGCCAAGCCTCTGCTGAGCCTGCACCATGAGGTCCAGTGTGTGTCGAAGCAACCGTCCACGTCTGAGCAACTCGCTCGACAGCAGCTCGCGCTCGCTCGCTGAGCTGCAGAGCGAGAGGCCGTCGGAGCACGGCGAAGGCTCAAATTCTTTGAAAAGCGTGTTGGGGAAGTCAGCCTGGTCGGATGTGAAGTCGGCTGAGGGGTTGGAGATGTTTCCCATTGCCAGGTGGGCCTGAGGAGTGTTGGGGAACTGAACAAAGGACTTGAGAGCCAGCTCTGCAGCCCTCATCTTAGCTTTTTTCTTTGTCGGGCCTGTKCCTTCAAAGGTCAGTCCGTTAACCTCCACAGCGATGGAGAAAACAGGGGCATGGACTGGGCCCGTCTGGGACACCATGCGGTACTGCAGGCCCGGACGAAGCTCGTTCAGCTGCATGAGCGCATTCTTTGGCGCCTCAGACCAGGACAGTTTCTTATAAATCAAACGGAGTTGACATAGGTGTCCATTTTTGTCTTCCTCCAGTGGCCGTTTTCTCTTCAGACCAGAACTTCCACTTCTGGTTGACTCAGAGCAGAAATGTGACTCCCCAGAATCTTCTAAATTCCCAATGTTACGGTTTTCCTTAACCTCTGCACTGCTGGTGCCTGCAATGATAAAAAAGAGCAAAAACAGTGACAATTTAATGAAAATGATAATAAAAAAACACAAAAATTGAAGAGAAAGCAGTCATTATTGTGCAGTAGTCTTGCTTATCCAGGCTGAACAAAATGAATCAAGGAAAATCTCTTGAGGCAGATTGAGCCACTTGATACACAATGAAATAGTAATGAACACATCTACAATCAACTCCCGGAGCTGAGCCCACTTCATACCACAGGGCTCTATTATATGTGAGTATTTTAAAACCCAAATACAAATCCTCTAAAATGGTGATGCTATCTGCCAAATCATTCTGTAATCTGACTCCAAATTGGTTCTGAAGCTGAGTTGTGAGTGGGAAACATTGGCCCCCATGGCTACAGCAGAACATCAATCCTATTTGTAATGGGGGTGGGGCAGGCGGGGATTGCTTCGGGTGGTAGACTTCCCAAGAAAGGATGAGGAAAAAGGACTGCAGCTTGCTTTATTTCACACTCCGATCCTCAGTAAAAGCTAAGCYTGAGCAGCTGTGAAACGCTCTTCAGACCTCGTTACGGGGAAGTGGTGGCGTGTCGCATTTCTGATGGGGAAATGAATAAAAATAGGAAGATCGGATTTTGCTAAAAGAATGTTAATGGTGCGATGGAAGCCATTTACTACTGTAGCTCAAAATAACAGTGAATGCATTTGATTTAATTACTTATTCATCAGGAGCATTTAAATTTAGCACTTCTTAGCTCTTTTTTTAAAGAGTGCAGCTTTTAACCCACAAAGATGATGGTTGTTTGTAATCAAAGATGTCAGTTCTAAAATAATGAATTATGCAGGTGATRGGGTTTTCAGTTTTACGCTGGGCCCGCACATCTGAGAGCGTTAACGCAGACCGGAAGAGAAAGAGGCAGCAGCTTACTTAAACTGTCCTCGTCCTCAGTGCTGGTCCCAGGGCTCATGTACTTGAAGGGAGCGATCAATGCCGACAGCATACTGACTTTCTCTGGAGGAGAGACAAGAGACACACAGAGTCAACAAGAGGGCAGCGCTGCTGATGTTTTGATGTTTTTATCGATTAAAGCCTGGGATCATTGTCGGAACAACACAAGGACTCAGATGATGCATACAGGAGCAAGAGTGAACACACAAGGCTTGTTCTTCATCACCTGTGAATTACCCACAGCTTTACAGGTCCAAACAACAAATATATGGCAATTTTACAGGCCTATAAGAGAACAAAGATTAGGGATGCACAGATTAATCAACTGGACGATAAATCGGCCCCGATTACTCAAATTTGCGTAATCAAGGATTGGCCAATACTGTCATGAGAAGCCAATGTTATCCACCAATCTTATCTACCTCCACAAAGGTCTGAAAATCAGCCAATGTCTCATTTTGCTCTGCTGTGAGAGAGGGCTGTGGTCCAGGTTAAAAAAATCTGTATTGTTTCAAGTCTATTTTTAAATGTTTATTATAAAATAAGGTTGGAACATTAAAGGTGTATTGTGACCTTATAACACCTGACAGTGTCAGGTATATAAAAAAATGGTATAGGACAAAATTGGAATTGGCAGGTCAGGCTTTTTGAAGATCACTGATCAGCCAGAAAATTGCAGTTGGTGCACCGCTATCAAAGATCATCAAAACACAAATGATAAGCTTGTGCTGTTATTTTTTGCTGCCAAAGGTGAAAGGGCAATAATAGATTTGAATGTGACTCAGGAGGTAATCACGAGTATGTCAAGAACTGTTTAACTTTTGGAGTGAAATTCAGCAGCTACTGTAGCAACCTGAGCAATCAAAACAAATGGCTATAGCTGAGTCATTTTTACAGATATTGAGTTAAAACCTAGTGGCCGAGAATCGTTCTCAACACATAGGAGCAGATTTAACAAAATTCCAGATAACCAGTACTAATTTAATTTATAGGCCATTATAGAMTAATTACAAAATAGACCGTACTAAAAGTGGATGTGTTTGCATGTGATTTACTAAGACAGCTTGCAGTAATAATAACAGGTGTAAAGGTGGTGTGGACCACCCTRTTAAAATGAGGATTGCAATTCAATGTGGTACATTAACATTGAATTTAAAAAGTTTTAACAATCTGTGAACTAAACCATGCATCAGACCATATGTTGTACAGAATGCACATACATTATATGGATTTTCTCTCAGTTTGCATGTATGCATTGGTGTTGGGCAATTGGATTTTTCAAAGTCTTTCCTTCAAATGACTTTAGGTCTCAGAGCTGGCAGGCTGTAAGGAAATAAGTTTGCCTCCTCCTCATCCTCCTTTCCTTGATCCTCTGTGCTGCAGACTCTATCTGTGCCCTCACATCTCCATGGTTCACAGTTGTCTTGCAGCTGCTGTTTTGCTCATCGGAGAGACGCAGTTCTTGCTGCGCACAGTAACCAAATTTAGCTTCACGTGCACTGTCATTTGAATTCTTTGTCTTTTTACGCACACTAATCGTTGACAAATCTGCACCATAGTCTAAACTAACTCAGACAATATCTGTTTTTAAAACTTTATCATTAAATATTTGAGTCAACTGTCTGTTCACAAAATATCTCATGAATCACTTTGAGGATTTTAATTAAACTTTTAGAAAGTAAGCATTTGCCAATTATGCTATTTGTTTGGAACTACAATTCCAGATGGCCACTACAGGTAATCAACCTTAGCTGGCAGAAACAGACTATGACTCAGTAAATTTTACTGATATTTGCTAAATTTGATGTGGTAATATGTGAAAATCATTTTCAACACATGACTCCATTTATCTTCGTCATACAATGATTTTAAATCAAAAGGTGATATGGATTCCTTTTAAAGGGTTTAAAGTCTTAAGATTTAAGGTTTCAAATGACCAAACTTCTAACAACACAAAAAGGCATGGCAGAGAAGCTCGGTCCTGAAATCTGACAGCAGCATAAAAAAAAAACCATCCCCAAAACTGTCATGTAAGGCAGCATTTTACTTTTAAAATCAGAGAATTCAGCACAAATTTTGAAGCAGTGCTSCTGGAGCTCACAGATTTACTAGAGCTGAAACATGTGAATATAAAGTTTGTTGACCTTTTATAAAAAAGCTAACCAGTTTCTGACTTACAAGCTGACTGATAAAACTATTCTTGGTCAGTAGCCTTTGCTATACCTTTCATCATTTTAGTTTTACCAAGTGATAAGTTGGACATCGCTGCACTTTGTTTTAAGTTGAAGGTTTGTGTGTGTGTGTGTGTGTGTGTGTGTGTGTGTGTGTGTGTGNTGTGTGTGTCTGTCTTTTTCATTTTAAGATCTAAGAAGGGTTGCTGTGGGGTTTTGAGCCGGGAGCTTACAGTGTTATTTCTTTTCAGCTGGATTTTATTTCAACAAACACTYCTGTGCAAGGAAAATAATAACTCTGTAAACTGCTGAAATTTGGGAGACATTACAAACGTTATTTATAGTCCATCCGTCCATCCATTCTCTGGACCCACTTTGAGCTGTTCAAGACTATGGTTGCTTTGTGTGAGACGCAGGGGACAGCCTGGGCCAGTCAATAGTTCATTAAGAGACCAAATCAGAGACCAACAAAACARATAATCATACATGTAGAGTCACACYAACAGGTATTCAGAATAACAAATTAACCTTATATACATGCTCTTGAATTATGGGAGGCAACATTTGCAACCAGAGAAAACCTACTCMTCTTTACCTCTACTCCACTTTGCAGCCTGTTATTCATACCTGTTTTTAAATTATATTAAAAAATACATTTACATGTCTATGCTGTAAACTGCAGTTTTAAAAAGGAAAACTGGCTGCTCAAAACTTATACATTTCTCAAAAGAAATCATAACACCTACGCAAATGTTTTTAGGAAAGATGTTAAACTGTTAKAGCTCAGAGTACATGTTAGCAATGATGGTCAGCTACTACCACACCATTAGCTCAATATTTGTAAAACTGACTGTATAATAACAAATTTGCATTTGCTAAAGTTGATTAGCTTRGGCATGTGTCTTAAGGAAGACAAATCATGCTTTAAATCCTCCTTTTTAACATTTAAACCATTCAGAGTACATATAAAGTGGAACTGCAATGCTTTGGCCTTAATCCCTCCTTATTGTAACTCCACTTTCGCCCCTTTCACTGAGGTGTGTCTCAGATCAACTCGTTTTGAAGCTGTCTCTTTAAATTCAAATGAGGTGCTTCACAGGGAAGACTTGTCCATCCAGCCTTGCATGTTGGAGCCAGAGTCTGACTCAGAGCCAGAGGAGAATGAAGACCACCAGACTGTAACTGGTAAGTCCAGACCTTAGAAGTTCCGTAGCAAAAACTGTGATGTAACAGAAAATAGAGAAAACTGAACGGGTTGAAAATATGATCAAAATAGAATATAAACATACCTACACAGCACAGGGAGAGACTATTCAACATTTTGCACTCCTAGAGATGCCAAGTACACAAAAAATGGATTTAAAGGCACAGTGTGTAGGATTTTGTCAATTCTTTTAGACGAAGTTGAGATAATCATTAATGACAGTAACAAAAAAAACATGGCTAATCATTGCAGACAAAAACCTTGTTTTATTATTTTTACTTGTAAAAATCTGTTTATATCTCCATGGTCGCGGGCCGCCACTACAGGCAGCCGCCATCTTGCACCATCATCTTGTCTACGAAGGCCCATGAAGGACAAACTGCGGTGGCTGTGTCAAAAATGGTTTTAGTTGTAGTACTATAAATGTAATATTTGTTGTCTGTCATTGTAGCTGGGATAATTTTACTTATTAAAGCTCATAATCTTACCACGTGAAACATCACTAGCCCTGAAGCTGCTGG